GTAGTCTCCATTCTTGCGGGAGCGAGAAGCCATCATGTTGACCGGCAGGCCGAGCCCCTTTGACGTAGCAAAGTAGCTACCGGGGGCAGGCAACGGCAAGCTAAGCGTCCGTTGTCGGCATCTTCGATAACATTGCGTCGGTAAAAGTGCTCTATGGTGACGATGGCAAAAAAAAGCGATAGATTATAACGCTAAAAGGACACGATACAGCTGGGCAGTAGAACGGCAGAATAAGACGACTGAGATACCTACGTTGCGGCGCTCCTCCTCAGGACCCAGTGGTTTGGTGTTAAGCTACGGTTGTCGACAGGTTCAGTAGGCGACTTGCAGATAAGACTGCCCAACACATCAAGTATACATTAGATTGTATGGGGTAAATTGAACGTAGTTCATTCATCTGTATAGATGCAAGAGCGAAAATATTCATAGCGGAATCGTACGCCGAATTAAACTGTAGCCCCTCGCGACCATACCTCAAGCAGTAGCAGCTATGCAAAGAAAAACAATTGAAAATGCTTAGATCATAATGTATACACTAAATAGAACTTTCTCCATTTTATTAATTTAAATTGTCTAAAAACAGAAAAAAAAAAGATTAACTAATCAAATCTCTCCAGTTGTGTAACTTCTTATGCTCATAAACAAATTGTATAAGATATAAAGACATACGATTATGTATGAAGATTAGAGTTCACATCAAATACCAGCAATTAAACCAGTAATAATAATAATAATTAATATTATGGCTATGACTGAATTACACAAAAATATCTTTTGACAAACACCCGATTTTTTTGCCTCTTTATCCTTAAACCTGCGAGTTGTTAATATTTTTTTGGCAGATTTACTTTCGCTCCGTCAATAAACACGTTGTCAGGCAGCAATGTTAGGAGAGCCTATTGGTGAACCTGTTCTTTAGGTCATCCTGCTTATACTTCATTCATGTGCGAAGTCACTTCCAGAGGAACGTGTCGCGCCGATTCAAAGGAACTTTACGGAATGTGTCTCTTAAAACGATGAAAAATAAATGAAAATAATTTTGCAGCACTGACTGAAGACGCATTTTTCCCTAGTGATTGCCAGAGAGGCTCAAAGGTGTACAGCATATATAGAGCATACAAAACAAATGCTAAAAATGTCATTCAATTCAAGGCATATTTTCCAACACCTCATACCGGTTTCGTATTTTGAACTATATTAAAGGAAAACGTGACCGATCCCTATTCAGACATCGTCTGAACCAGCAAATCTGCCATACAATAGGCGTTTTCAATATTCAATTAGGATACAAAATGAATTCAAGTATAAATACTAGAAGAAATTTTTTCCTATTATCGCGTTCCACGAGTCGAGTGACCCGTTATTACAACTACATTTCCTAATTATAGAATGTATTGAAACACATTGAGTTAATACGAAATGCCATCGTTGCTGCGTCTTCAGTGTGTTGTTTCTGAGAGAACGGTACGTTTTTGAGGTGAAACGAGCACTTTAGATAGCTCTTAAATAGTAAACAGATCGCCGCCTCAACAACGTAACCTATTTCATCGTACCTTTTCTTTCTTATTGACACCACCGCAGTGGTCGGGCATAGACCCCTGCTCTATCGTCTTTGCTCTATTCGACACGTGTCGAACAGCACGAGACTCAGAGCCCGCACGGTTTCCGTTCGATTCAGTATCATTTGTTTGTTATGCTAGTCGAATCGCCGACGTACCTTAAGCTGCTACGGGTTTTTTTTTTCGCTATTTCTTTTCTCTATTCTCACTGCCGATGTGTAGGGGCGCAGACCTTTTCCTTTTATGTGTTCTTCCGTGCCCGAGTAGTTTCTACACGTATTTCAGCTTCAACAGTTATTCTGCCAGAGTATTCCAGTTGATACCTGGCATTAGTTCTTTCCTGAATTGAGTTTACGTCCCATCGACGATCCCATACAGCCTCTTCACAGTGTGTTTCTACATCTTTACCACGCCTGTGCTCACATCGACCGCGGCCTACATTGGGGCTCTTGGTTCCGACGTATCGGGTGTTGTCTCGTAAAGGGCCCAACAGATACTGACTTCGTACTTAGGTATTTGCTAGGATGCTCGCCACTGTACACGCAACTTCTCGTCCTGCTTCTGCCGTGAACGCTGCTGTCGCCGTCGAGTTGATTTGCGTAACAATAAAAAGCAATCCCTTCCGAACACCACGAAAGTGTAGTGTACAGGAACCAAGCGACAGTCTCTATATGACGATAAACGCGGTGCATCCTTATTGAGCTCGTCGCCTGCTTCTTGGTCACTTGCTTCCGTTCTATCCCACATAGTTGAATGACTGGCTGACTGTGGACTGCAGCTTTGATCAGCCAGGGATTTTCATGCCCCTCGAGTTCCCGTCCGTTCCCTTTTTCAGTATGCGCGCACCATAGCTCTCGTACTATTCCACCCCCTCGAACGCCCCTGTTCTTTCCAAACCCCACCTCTTCAGTAGGATTTCTCAACGAGGCGCCGTCGTGGTGGGTGCCAATCCCCCGATCTCGGGTGGTTGCTGTTGTTATTGCTTTTGCTACTCGCTGTATTAGAACTATTGCTCCCTTATCAGAAGACTAGTGCAGTCTCCGTCACATCCAGACTAAAGGAGAGGCTTCCAAGCCTGGCAGTTTGCTTGTGAGACTGAGAAGCGCTCGGATTCGCCATCGTCTTCACACTTCTGTCCACCCAACCAACAACGACCGGTAGCAATTGATAACGAGCATGCAAAGCGGCTCATCTCCACAGCAGCAGCATCTAGCAGCTTCAAGGATGAATGCAAGCTAGCGAACAGCAACAACAGAATCCTCATACTGAATGGACGAGTGGATGAATCAATGCCTGGGGAAACAGTGCCCGTTCGAGGCGATTATAGAAACAAGGTAGAACATGTACGGCGGCACATGATGAGGCACACGAGACGCTGTCGCGTCCTGCAGATGGCCGCGTGGCCAATATCGATGTCCGGTTCCTCTGTCGTATTGCGATACGTAACGGTGTGTTAGTCGTTAAGTAGCTCGTTGGAACTGTCGAGCTTGTAGTTATGTTTGTCACAGGCAAAGCTGGTTTCTGCCACAGGCTTTGTTGAACGTTCTGGTTGGCCACCAATTCCGCAAACCTTTGCCGTCTAGTTTCATCAAACACCTACAGGCACAGCAGTTGTATCGACGCCGTCACAACCCCACATCCACCCGGATCTCCGTTGTCGCCCCCTAGTCGCAGTGAACGCCGAGAAGCCGAAACGTACAACACGGACTAATATGGTACGGCTGGCACAGTCGTAGACGTTAGATAGCAGAGCAGGTTATGTAGGAGAAACAAAAAGGGTTCGGTGCTCGCATCGAGCAGCGGCGCAAACGCACCGTCGATAGCGGCTGTGGTAGTAGCATACGGTCCTCTTTGCTCGCGCGGCTTGACACAGAGAAATCCCACGTACTTCCTGAGTTTCGGTCAAGCGTGCTACCGATATGCTCTGACAGCACACGTACACTGGCAGACGCGGTCATTGCAGCGCTCTGCCAGTACCCGTTTGGTTGAAGGGACTGCCTCCTGGTACCATCGAGGTCGTATCGGCCTGTGGCTAGCTCGAACAGTTCGGGCGGCGACTGGCCTGTAGGCGCATCCATATAAGCGTTTCTGCCCAAGTACGTTTAGTTTCCACAAGCCTCCAGAATGTACCGCTAAAAGAACGCTGCGCGATGTATTCACGAAGTTTAAGCGACTCAATTCACCGCCTATTCAACAGCGGTTTTTCAAATGCAGTCAAGAAGCACAAAGGAACGAGGAACTGGGTTGAGTCAAAGCGGATGGCCAGTGCAAGAAAGGGGAAAGCTGGGCTCGATATTCAATGGGCTGCGCATACCCTTACAGGTGTTTCCGTACCTCTGCTGGTAATCAATTGAAAAAACTGGGATGTCATTATCGTAGTCGTTGTGATTTGAATTTCGATTTGTCATAGCACAGCACCAAGGACTTCACCGATATTACGAAGAAATGCTAAAAGTCATTTGTTTAGGGTACAAACCGCACGAAACTTCAGTAATTCCTATTATATTATATGCAATTATCTTTGTTTTATCTTTATTTCCTAAATAATCAAGATGAATCAGCGGATTCTTAATAGTCACACGGATTTTTTGATTTGGTCTTTATACCCATTCAGAGTGAATTCACTCCTACGTATTTCACAAATATAGTGAGTCAGTTTTCTTCAAAGACTGCATACAATATGGCCCGAAATACCGGGTCCAGGAAGTTGTTTAGTCTCTATGCGATTGCGGAACTTCCCGGACAACTTAGATGTGTTGCATCTACCATGATTATGTATAGCGTTTATCATTGCAGCAATTGAACGGGTAGCTGTAAGTTGTAAAGAAACGATAATCTCTATTCGAACAGCTGATGGAATCTTTATAAGATTTTTTTACTTGCCTTTGAACGCTAGAAGGGTTCATTGTATTGACCTGTACATATGGATGTCTCAAAGGTTTCGATGGGTGTTTCTAAATCTGTTCCTACAGGTTTCTGTGCGACGGTCACTGTATCGGATAATAACAATAACTTGCTATCCTGGCGGTTTTTAAGTTCTGAAGCTTTTCATGGGCTCAGAAAAATTTCGAAACTGTTAGTTTATAGACTGATCTTCCGAGAATGATCGGCATCCACTGTCATCACCCTCAACATTACCGCGCTGCTCGCCGGAAAAAATGTACATAGATATATGTATATGATCTGCACTTTGTCCCTGACATCCGGCTCAGTCTAAAAGAAAAGTGACGTCTTTTCTCTATTCTATTCGCAATATATTTTCTATTCGCAATTCTAACTAACTAACATACGATTAACTAGAAGTTACGTTAGCATTAGAGCATAATTCACTGTTCTATAAAGTTGAAGTTACAGTTAACAAATGACGAAGTCAGAACTATTGTCAATCATTAACTATCTGTCCACTTGTCCAACAACACCTAGATTCAACGCAGGCATGTGTAATAAAGACAAGAAATTCAGTGTATATTTTCCTCGTATATTTGAAGCAGCTTTATTCTTTCAATCGGGTCTGATCATTTAACTGTTTCACTGATGATATCGATACTATGATTGAAGGTGGCCGTGGTCCTTCGCAGCGTCACTATTAAATTTCAGTGCATAGAGCCAGCTAGAAGGTGTTCAAGGTTAAGGCCTCTAGTGAGTACGATAGCCTGAGGACTATGAGAGTAAATATCAGTTCCTTTGCGCCGTTCCGCTAATTAGGTTATGTTTAATGCATAATCGATTGCATTGATTTGAAGACGTGGCCGACCGTATACGTTTTGCGAAGGCCGAAGCCGTTCTCAGAAAGCTATTATCATTTTCGTGGGTTCGTCGGCCAGTGATCGCTGTTCTATAGAGATCGATTGCAAATTCGACATAACCGTCACGGGTATTCGATAAACGTTTGTCACAGACTCGACTTTCAACACCCCAGTTCTCAGCTGACTATAGAGAGGCGTTCACCGATTTCCGAGAAGCGCTTTATTAAATACCTGTACCTCTTTTTTCCTTAGAAGGCGAATTGTTAAATATGAAAACGTTGATTACATATCATTAATTATTTTTAGTTTCCCCTCTTAGGGTTTTTTCTTTCTAGCATTCTTCCGGAGGCGCCGACGTTCACTTTTGATTTCCTAACAAAGTTAAGATGAAAAAAATACTCCATTATAGTTTGACTTAAATATACATGTGTATATTTCTGTGTCATCAATTTCCTGTTAGATTTTTTCCCACCTCGCGTCTGACCACGTCTGATCACTGATCGAATCAGCTGTTTCATTATGCGAGACTATTATGCGCAGACCCGCCTGGTGTAACCCGCACAGCTGACTTTTATGGTAGATGCATCAGAGCCATCTTTTACATTACACACAGGTTATTGAAACACATTATAATTGCTGCTGCTGCCATCACGTCATCTCCGTTTGTCGTTTGTTATTTCTTTTTTGCGTTTATAGTATTACTGTCATCATTATTTGGCTATTTACAAATAACATTATCTCGTATGCAGTCGAAGCAGTTAAACACAATCCTACTGAACACACTCGAGCATTGCACAAAGTCAGCGTTTGCCATCTTTCGATCTACTCGTTTATCTCGCCTTTCTCATCATTGGTCTGCCATCGATCGCTTGATTGAACATCGAGCTTTTCTCTTCCTTATATTCGTTTTATTTGTTTCTTTGTCCTATCTACAGGGTAAAGAGCTTCCGGAGCTTTTGTGGTTTTCAATCTTATCTTGTTTGCTGTTAGCACAGCCTAGTCCAAGGCCCCCAGAGCACATCAGCGATCTCCGAGGTCTGTCTAGAGGAGGAAGGTGCGTCGAGCGACGATCCGTGTCCCAGGGGCGGGGGAAGGGGGTACTGTGATTGGTGAAAAGTCGATGATAGGTAATTCCGTTTCCGTCGTAGTAGTCTTGATAATCATTAGAATTATATTAATAGCCATCATCATCATCATCATCGTTTGGATTGCTACCATAATAAACACAATATGAATAATTAAAGCAGGAGGCCGAGCCGCCCGTTCTTCATTATGGCGGAGATTTACAGATGACATCGGTGGTGACGGCGATCCCGAGCTCCGGTGACCGCGGCGCCAATTTCCTACAGCTTATCGCTTGCCTGCGGCATGTACTGCGAGGCAGCGTATGCAGCGAAAAGGCTTTGAGATTGGAAAGCTCCGCCCAAGAGGGCCGTGAACGTGTTTACATCGGACGCATAAGGCTGGGCGGGTGATGTGGGACAGGGTGGGCTACACGGTGAAGACACATGCGTCGGACTGCTGGACGGACTTTGTGGCAGCGATGAAGGACTTTGAGGTCGAGGTGAGTGAGGCTCTTGGACGAATTTAACGTTCACGGAATTCGGCAGTAACGCGGAAGAGAAGCCTCGCATAAGCATTTCGTTTGATAGTGCGCCCGGCAGCGAGCCAAGCGGCACGTCTCGAAGAGGTAGGCCCCCAAAGGGCGGAACCATTAAGGGCATTTTTGCAAAATCAAGCGGAGTCATCGTTTGCCCCACACCGGCGCCTGCCGCGGCACTGACGCGTATCTTCACGGCGTCATCGGCAGTCAACCACGGCCTGAGAATTTCTCCCTTGCTTTTACCCGGTGAAGTGGCTAAGTTGACCGCCGTCTCGCTGCCGATCGATGAGGTGTCGATGAGGGCAGCCTGGTGGTTTGCCGCTTGCGTCACGGCTTGATTGGCGGCAGCCTGCTGAGCAGCTGCAGCATCAACGGGGTACGCTCCGAACGCACTTTTCGCTAAACCCATATCCATGAGTAATGGATGGGACGATAAGCCGTTGACACCTAATCCGTGAATCTGTTTTACGTTGAAACCACCTGCCGCTGCTGCAGATCTCGATAGCGGGGGCATATTTGCTGCAGCGCTGCTCGGTACGGCCTGCGAATTAGTCGCATTGTTTTGTACAGACAGACTTCCCTGTTGCTGCTGCTGTTGCTGCTGCGGCTGCTGCTGCTGCTGCTGCTGCTGCTGCTGTTGCTGCTGCTGGCCGTTGACGTTTCCGCCACCCTGATGATTGGGCTTCGGCCGTCGACGAGGCCGGTATTTGTAATCCGGGTGCTGAACCATGTGAATGGACCGCAGTCGCTTGGCCTCGTCGATAAAAGGCCGCTTTTCCGCTTCAGATAAAGCACGCCACTCACTCCCGAGCCGTTTGGAGATTTCGGAATTGTGCATTTTTGGGTTTTGCTGTGCCATTTTTCGCCGCTGTCCTCGTGACCAGACCATGAACGCGTTCATTGGCCGTTTGACATGTTCTCCCTCGTCCGTCGTTGTGGTGAACGAAGTCATCCTGTTATTGACCTTTTCTTCTAGTAACAACAACAATAACGACGACGACGAAGTAGCAAACGATTGTGTTGACCCTGCGTTCGTGTTAACCAATTAATGTCCGCCTTGGTACTTCTATTGCCGCACCTGCTGTTTTAGTCACGAGATACGTAGCCTTAAAAACTCGTTATTTGCTTGCTCGTATCGTACTTTGGACTGGTGTTTTTCGTTCGTGCACGTGAACATACGTGCAAGAGCGTTGAACTAGCTTGTTCCTCTAGAGTACCAGTACTGTTTGTTGCGATTGGCCCTCCTCGGCACAAAGTTTGAGTTCACTACGCGCTACTCGATCTCACGGTTCGCTAAGCTTCATTCAAACTACAGAATGGACTGGTTGTTCTTCTAGCGTGCACGTCAAACAGATACGTTCCTTCCCGTTGCCGATACAAAACATATATACACGTTGATACACACTAGAACACTGGCGTCGCAACGAGTCAGAGATCGACAAGAGCGAAAAAAAAAACACCATACACCATTAACAAACATGTGCACACTTCGTATAGAGCCGTTCCCCTTCGCTCACAGACTTCGGTCTGTTACTCTAAGTCGATTTCGAAACAACTAAAATTTGCTTGATCGAAAATGTTTGCTTAACCGTAAGTTTCAACAAGTTAATTTTGATCTCCTTTGCCTGTTCCACAATCGTTTCCCGGCTTAACAAGTTCCAGCGCGTAACAATTCATCCAAAAGTCATTCCTTCCGTGTGGCCACCTCGGCCAGTCAACGACTATGCTCTGGTCTGTCGGCCGTTGTTGCCGCTACCGTCGTTACGTACGATTTTCGCTTAACATCTGTCCGATTGTTGCGGCGATGACAGCCAACACTAGTCCTTGTGAGTTTCCGAAAAAGCAACAACGGCCAGTGAGCTAGTCAATAATCGAACACAGTTTTTTTTAACTCCACACAGCACCCACCTTACTGGTATAGCCAGCCTTTCTACAGATCCGTGCCTTTGTCACGTTGTTTCGTCTCGTCGTCTACACCGTCTGTCCGTTCATCTATGCCATCAGTGAGCGAATTGCTGTCGCGAAGCAGATCGCAAACCGAATCCACACTGCAAGGCCCCTTCTTTCTCTCCCTGCGCGCATGTGTATCTGTATGTGTGTGTATGTGTCTCTGCGTGCATGCGTGTGTGTGAGTGTGTGGCATACGCGACCGCCTTCAGCCGGCTGTTTCTGCGCGCCCGTTCTCAGCATCGGCATTTACAGAACAGCGACATCAGCACTGTATCTGCAACCACTGCCGTCGCCGGCATCGCGTCCAACTCAGTCGCTGTCTCTCCGTCCTGCTAGCCGTAACAGTGCTATAAGGCTGCTTGGCCGTTCGCCGCGCGCGCGCGCGCCTGCCTGCCTGCCTGCCTCGCCATTGGCGCCGCCCTGTCTAAACGAGAGTCCCGCCCCTGACAGCGAGTGGCGCATGCGTGCGCGGTTCTTGCCCGCTTCAGTGTTCTAAGAAAGCAGCGCAGTCGAACGGCCGATTGAAGCGGCCAACTGGATAGCAGCATTGTGCCGCCATGGCTACAGGGCTTATTCGCCGTTCGACTGCTGAATCCCGCAGAAGCCCTTTTCTTACACACGGTATAATATTGCTTGTGGCCTGTTTGCCCGCCTGCCTGACTTTATGATGGCGACGGTGGGAGGCATTCGTGCCTGGAGTAGCAACGTGCGCCGAAAGGCAGCTAGCTGCTGTGAGCTGCTGCGGATTTCGGGCTCTGGCGTCCTATTCGGGGTGTAGCCATCGGAATGGGCAGGATAGAGGAGGCAGCGGGGAGGGCTAATAACAGGGTCCCAGTTAAAGCAAAAGGCTTACCTGGCTGGTGTCAATCAACTGCGGGCTCATTTTACTGATGCCGCTGTTGCAACTGAAGCTAGAAAGGCTGCACCAGCTTTTGTGTTGTCTGTGGGAAGGGCACGGGGCAGTCTCTACGGTTATCCTAACAAGACTGGGGAGACTCCCAACTGGAAAACGGGAAGCCATTGCAAATGGTGGCCGCCAGCTAACCTGTTGTTAGTGGCAGTTACGAAGGCGGTGCACCTGCTGCAGGGAGACATCAGAAGGACCGAAAAGGCTAAGCAAGCAAAGGCTTCGTGCATCTGACGGAGCCAAAGCCGGCGTATCGGCTCTATTAGTACGGCACTACGCTGGGTCGGTTACTTCAAGGCAACTGGGGCCGCTGCATTTCTGAACCAGCCGCCTGACCCACTTGTCAATGCCGTGGAAAATCCTTAGCGGCCGGCAGAGTGTGGCAGGATGCCAGTTAGCTGACGCTGCAGTTAGAGTTCGATTCCGGTGATTTCCATACAACTTTGAGGTGACTGCACGCAAGCTGCCAGAGCTCACGTTGTTAATAGAGCTAACATATATCAAATAATATCATGGCTGTTACGGCGAAAGGTGTCTACGAATAAAAGAAGCGATGAGCATTTCTATATAACAGCGTTTTTATAATAGCTCGAGTCCGTACCTCGAGAGAGGGTACTGACGGGCTAGTCGATTTCGCATACGCATCAACAGTATGGCACGGACGTCTTAATGATTTCCGTGATTGTGCAGCGGTAACGTGCCAGGATCGGACGCAGACACCGACTCTTTTAGTTGCGTGCTGGTGACCAGCCGTCTGGAGTAAACTTTGACGGACGTGAAACGAAAAACATTTGTCTACCGACATGGTCACGTCGGGGAAAGCGACGCAGCAACAGCTAAACAAATACGATAAGCAAACAAAAATCGGAGCAGAACGTACTCAGGGTTCACTGTTGTAGTATCGGAAACTGCACGTCCGAATCCAGCTGTGGAAGAAATGGCACTTGGAACTTCAAATATATAGGCTTGACGTTAATAAATAAACGACACGGTCTTTCGACACGGTAAAGAAGGAAATGTACATAAAATTGTCTTTGTCTAGGACAAAGTCGAGTGCGCGTTCAAGTCACGATAATAATACTTACGAGTCAAGTAGCAATGAAGCGGCTATTATTACAGCGGATAGCGATACTACTGCTGTGATTACTACTACCAAACGGGACAGGCCACCGGAAGGAAGCAACCAACGACTGAGGTGTTACTTAAGTTAAAACGAAGCGCTGTGATGTCACTTGCAACTTTCCATTATTAGTTGCCAGCATCGAACTCATGATCCTGCTGCAAACCAAGTGGGGCTAAGAATGCCGAACAAAGGAACATGTGACTTGAATTCGTCGTGTAATTCCAACTGACACCTAACAGAAAAGGGAGGGCAGGGAGGGGGCAAAGACCACAAACCTTTGCCTTTGCAGTTAGTGTCAGAACTGTCTTTGCACGAAAATCGCAATTATTGAGGTCAAATTTAAGAAAGTCTTTTGATCACTCGAATCTGTATACGGAGGTAATACTGTTATACCGATATCGTTACATGCAAGACACTCTTATATCAGTTTTACCGCACAAATGACGGTCCCAGGATTTTCCGAAAGAAATCGGAGGTCAGATTCTTCACCAGGTTTTCAGCTTTATAGTCAACATACTAATGTTCATTATAATAATAAAAATACATGTGAGGTATCATTTTAAAAACAGTTGAGGTCAATAACTATATCCAAGGGCATAAGCAAAATATCCGGTTCCAAGCATCCAAGATCTCAACGTTTCATGGGACCAAATTGTCAAGTTGGTATTAAATGTAAATGGTATTTTTTTAGATGCGGTAATTCACGGTGAAGATGCTGATGTACTATTTGATAGACCCCATTTTGGCAAAGTGCATATATGCGCTTCGCTCAAGCGACAAGCGTTTAAATGAGGCACATTGCGAAGTACATGCACTTTGTGCTAAAGGCGAAGTGTACATCAGATTTTGTATAGAAACTCGTCGATAAGCAGTGACTGCCGTAGGCCCTTATTTCAGGCTACTTCCCATAACGGAAAATGGCTCTATAAGGGTATAAATTGTACCGATGGAGATTGGACCGATTGTGTGTTTCAGAGCCCTCACGTTCTGTTTCGTTCACAGAGACTGATACCTTGTCTAAGCAGTAATGGTTGTTTTCTGTAGCTAATTTTTCGTTTGTTGATACTTAAATGCCATTTGCTATTGTGAAGCCTATTTTCAATGCGCAACGATGTTATTATTGTTTTTTTTTTTTCGGGTCACAAAACTTTATTTGAAGTTTTGACCTTAAGGTACGTAAAGTGGTAAGTCAGCATCTTCGATACTTTTACGCTCCTTCAGGCGAGCGAGGTCGAAAACCGAAACTGGTGATTTTTTGTCACCATCTAAAAAAATAGGTTGAATTTTCTTCTTTCAGTATTTAACTCGGTTCCGATGTGTTGATAACAGACAGGTTACCGACGAAGTTCTGAATCTGTTTTCTACTGCTAAGTGACGTTACGTTTTTACGAGTGCACCCCGGATTCGCTTGTAAATTGCCGAAATCGAAACAATATAAAATAGTTGACATTTTTTTTTTTGTTTCGTTTCGAGTGTTACGTCCGATACGTAACGACAAAACGAAATAGAGGTACACTTGAATAGACCATTACGTGTTTCTAAGTTCAGTACGCAAGCACACCACCACCGGAGCTCGACAACGCACTGAGCTGGATTGCCTCATAATAACTATTGACCTTACACTATCACAGCAGCTATGAGGTGCGCTCAACACCGAAACCTCCAGCTTTATCTGAACCCCAACGTACCTGGGAAATGCTTTTCGATGGGAAGGGTTTTGAGTTAATACGGTGTAACTGATTCGCCGGGAAGGTCTTGTTAACGGCAGAGTGTTAAAGAAGATCCAAAACTAACCAAGCAGTCATCTGTTACAGACTCCTTACAGGCTTCTCGCGGGCAAACACTAACAAATTTCTTGTAAGCTCAAAAGTGAGCGATCGATTAGCATCACCAATATAAAACTCGAGTGATAAATGCCCGCGATTGACTCTGTTTCGATTAGAAGCATCAACAAAACGTTAATACTTCGAAGTAAGGTATGCCTTCACGCCGTCGATTGCGTCTGACAAAGAAACAAACGATTGTCAGCGTCTGTCACGCTATTTCCGGAGGCAGAACTTGGATAGAGCAAAAGCCAACTACGGGAAAGTGATAAAGATGTCTTTTTTTTCGCAAGATCCTGCTGAGCCAGGGGCCTTGTGCCTAAAACATTACCGATATGTGGGAAGAGAACAAACGAAAACATTTCCCCTTGCTCGTGCATAATAGTGATATTGTGACGACGGACAACACAACCATTTTAGGGTTAATGGACATGCCTCCATCTTCGATTTCCAACTTCGTTTAGCGTGAAGCGTTTGCGCCTACTGACTAGCTGCCACAAACTAATAGTCCGTTTCGGCTGGGAACCAATACGGGTGTGGTAATTGACAGTGGGCGATTCTACGCCCCTGCTAGGTATAACTGTGCTTTGGACGATGACAGTTTAGTTAGGTATCGTATTGAAACGCGCGTCGATTCTTCACCAGTAACCTTGCGTGTATCTTGTTATATCTGTGGCTTGGTAAGTATACAGAACGTCTAGTTCTTTCTTGGGCTAGTAGATCTATATAGGAGCTAACTATACTAGCGGACCTGGACTGATGTCAATAATACATTATCTTCTGTGTGCATACTCCAGAGAAGCAACTAGACGGTTCGATGCGTACCTAGTGGTTGCAATAAGAACCCTATTACTTCCTGAAGAAATCGAAAGGGGTAAATATAGTCGTTCTCCCGTGAACGTCCCGGACCGCCAACGGCTTCTCAAACGAAAGCCTATTAAAGGTGAAGATAATTAAAATTTATTTTTAAAACTTTTCGTAAATACAAACATTATATCGACTATTCTCTAATAACAGCTGATAATCAGACATTTCCGCTGAATCTACCCACGATCAAGCAGAACGCTAGACACTTTATTATAAGTGAATTCATAATATGTTTGTTTACCTTCTCGATAAAGAACAAGATAGGGCTTCATTATATTTCAGGCTCATTTATACTGACCACATATTTGAGCTTCGCAAAGAATAAGCGGTCGCTAACGGAACTTTCACACAGTCGATGGTAAGCCCCAGCACTGCATTATGCGTATAGAGATAGGTCTCAAGCTGTCGGCGCGAAGATGCATGTCACTTATTTCCGTTTGGTCCATTTACGGTACAACTATCGTATGCCAAATACTTTTGTCACCTATAACATTAACTATTAAACCATATTTAGCGTAATCGCTCCTGGTACTGGGCCGAGCTTCTTGCGG